ACTACAAATCATGTACACTTTACATTTGAAGACCATTCTCTTCTGTTTGTTTTCTGTGGTTTAAATGTCTGACAGCAGTTTGTTAAAGATCCTACAGAGAAATTAAATGTTTTTTGTTCCTTTAGTTTCGTCCGCTCCGTGTAATCTCTCGCCGGTTCTCCCTCCTCGTCCTCTCTTACGGTCAACCACAGAACTCAAAGTCCTCGGTCCAAATTAAACTAAATATAGAGCCGTGACATTGAAAATCTTTCACAGAGCGAGTCGGCTCACCTCTCAAAGGATTTCAGAACGAGACTTCTCCTTGAGCGAGACTTCGGTCCGACACACAGCGGATCATTTCTCTGTTTTACTCTCACTCAGTACCGGACCAGAAACATTTGTCCCTTTGACTCAAAGACATGGAGCAATAAGGCCCATGTTGAAAAATACCAAAGTTAATTTAATGATTAGGAGTGCTTCTCTGCTGAAACAGAAGTTTGGGATGTCGGAGGGTCCTTGAATCCGCCGTGAACGTTACTTTAACAAAGATAAAGACGCCTGCAGTCAGTGGCTGTGTGAAAGGTTTGAATCACTGTAAAAACTGATGCTGGGATTTGGAAAAATGTTCAACGGAGACGTAAAATGTTCATGATTTGTAGTTAATGAGTGAGAACCTGAAACTCCACTGGTAGACAGACAGGATGCTGGGTAAATGGCTTTGCTGACTACAGATCTTCAGTCTTTCCCACCTATAAATCTACTTTCTTTTGCTCCAGACTTTATTTTAAACACTTATTTTCTTTTGATTTTGAAGGTCACTTCTCTCGAACAGAAAACAGCTCCTTTCAGTCTTTTTAACTCCCCTCTGAACCCCGAACATCAAGTGCCAAAAGACTCTCTCGTTGTGGTAAATTGTACTTCCCCTTTGTGTTCTTTCTTAAGGAAGTTGTATATATGTATATTTGCTACCAACTGTTTGTGTACGACTTCAAAGTTAATAAAAATTATGAGTTATTTTTAATTAAAGTCATCAGAGTGGACTGTTTGTCAGATTTGGATGTTTTTCTGGCTCGAGCGCAGAGATCTTGTGAGGTGAGGACACGCTGAGACTCAGCAGGGTGAGTCAGGTACTCATTAGCTGTTAGACATGTAGTCAGTAACCTCGGTACAAAAAAAGACCTCAGCTCAGCCTCTTTAAAAATCCAATGAAATAAAAGGGTTTTATGGGTTGTATTGGCTCCTTTAGAGGTATTTCTACTGGTACAGACTGGGTGAGCTGTAATCAGGTCATTGAGAGGAAGAAAATACTTTTAGACTGGAAAGTATCACAATATTAAAGTAACGTGATTACTTTCTGTTTTGCATTACCTCAATACTCTATAATAATCCAATATGAAAAGAAAGACAAGAGAAATGTGAATGCATTTTCTATGTATAAAGAAAATGGATTAATAATATAATCCAATGTTTACTACATGTAACTGTAATCTGATTATGGATTACTTACCTTCTTTTGTATCCTGATTACATATCTATGTTACATGTAATCTGTTACTCCCCACGCCTGTGTACCACTAATGATAAGACCGAGAGAGTTTCCTCATGTCTGTGGTCAGAGACACAAAAGATGAGAAACCTGAGATAATGATGGTGGTGGAACGAGGTTGAGATTAAAGAACCTTCTGAGGACAAACGGGTTTTATATAAATATATATAAGATTAAAACATTAACATAGCAGCAAATTTGCTGTATGAATATATATAGTGGAGTCCTGAGCAGTTTTTTGGTTTTAAGAGGTAAAAACGTAAGAAATAAAAGCATCGGGACAAGAAAACACTGAATGTATCCAAAAAAGAAACTTATTAAGTCTGTATGATTGTTAAAGATTATAAAAAATACAGAATACAGACAGAGAATTGTATAAAAAGTTCCCTAAACATGAAATAATCTGCTCAAAATTCATCCAAATCTCATTTTACACAAACTTCCTGCAGTTACTGAGTTCACTGTTTGGGTTCATTGAACAGTTTTAATATGATATAAAATGTTAATAATATGTCACTGAGTCAGTTTAATAA